TTGAGCCTCTAACTGAATCAGCCTTAGTTACGAGAAGTTCACTGTCCTGATTTAGCCTAATCACTGCGGTCCAGTACACACTCACCATTACTCCTTCACAAAAAGCTACACAATGCTAAGAGGAAAGAAAACAACACCTGAAAATACTAAAAACTCAGACAATCTGAAGGCAACTACTGCCAAGCACAGCAACACTTGGAAGGAAAAAAAAAGATGAAAAGAAATATGTACCTTAAACACTGAGTTATTTCAATATATTCTGACTGCTGAGAAACTATTTAAGCATCTTAAAAAGAGAACTGCATTTGATGTTTAGTCATCTTTGTTCACTGAAGATCAACACACACAATTTAATTACTACATGCTGGATAATGGGTCATTAATACTAAACATGAATGAATTTGCTAAGGACGAAAGGTGCCTTGCAGGCAGTGACAGAAATTCCCTTTTTCTCTTCTTTAAAGGAAGACGATGGCTGCAATACACATCTCACTGTGGTACTATTACAAGGAATTCCCAGGACAAAAAGGACCTAGAGTTTCGTACAAGGAACATTACCTCTCTCCAGTTTGCCATCGTTGTCAGCACACATCTATCCACGCATTTTTACTGCACAATGGTTTGAAGCTTCAGAGAAGTGTCTTCAAATGCAGAACCTGGTAACTGTACACCACCACAAGCAGACTCCACATCCAGAACAGGAGGAACAGCTTTTTCAGCATACTAGGTTGAATGTGTCTCCATTCAAAATAATCAGAAATTTTGGCCCCACGCATTTTTACCCCCAGTATAAAAGCTATCTTCCCTTTCAATTCCAATCATGAGATGCAAGTAATAGCCCAAAATTTAGTGTTATTATTGGTATATGCTATACAATAGAGAACACTGTGATAAATTTTAAATTTTTTTAAAAAGCCTTCACTGGCTGGAAAAGCTTATTTTGAGGACAACTAGCATGGCATCTTTAAGCTAAAAGAATGGAAATCTTGGTATCTTAAGAGTACAATTTTAATATTTAGTGAACTGTATGTAAGGCATGGTCAACAGTAATCAACACAAACCGCAGTCCATGATTACAGAATGGTTTGGGTTGGAAGAGACATAAAGGCCACCTAGTCCAACCCCTGCTATGGGCAGGGACATCTCCCACCAGATCAGCTTGCCCAAAGCCCTGTCCAACTTGGCCTTGAACACTTTCAGGGAGGGGGCATCCACAGCTTCCCTGGGCAACCTGTGCCAGTCTCTCACTACTCTCAGGGTTAAGAATTTCTTCTTAGTATCTAATTTAATTCTACCCTCTTTCAGTTTAAAACTGTTACACCTCATCCTATCACTATGCCCCCTGACAAACAGTCCCTTCCCAGCTTTCCTGCAGACCCCCTTCAGGTACTGGAAGGCCACAATAAGGTCTCCCCAGAGTCTTCTCTTCTCCAGGCTGAACAGCCCCAACTCTCTCAGTCTGTCTCCATAGGCAAGGTGCTTCAACCTTCTCACTGTCTTTGCGGCCCTCTTCTGGACCCGCTCCAACAGCTCCATGTCCCTCTTATGTTGAGGGCCCCAGAACTGGACGCAGTATCCAGGTGGAGTCTCACGAGAGCAGAGCAGAGGGGCAGAATCACCTCCCTCGCCCTGCTGGCCACACTTCTTTTGATGCAGCCCAGGATATGGTTGGCCTTCTGGGTTGCAAGCACACATCGCTGGTTCACGTTGAGCCTCTCATCAACCAGCACCCCCAAGTCCTTCTCCTCAGGGCTGCTCTCAAGCCATTCTCCACCCAGCCTGTATTTGTGCTTGCGACTGCCCCAACCCATGTGCAGGACCTCGCAAGATCTTAGCCTTGTTGAACTTCATGAGGTTTGCACAGGCCCACTTCTCCAGCCTGTCAGGGTCCCTCTGGATGGCATGCCTTCCCTCAGCGTGTCGATTGCACCACACAGCTTGGTGTCATTGGCAAACTTGCTGAGGGTGCACTCAATCCCATCATCCATGTCGTTGAAAAAGATGTTAAACAGCACCAGTCCCAATACCGACCCCTGAGGAACTCCACTTGTCACTGGTCTCAACTTGGACATTGTGACACTGATTGCAACTCTTTGAGTGCAACCATCCAGCCAATTCCTTATTCTCCGAGTGGTCCATCCACCAAATCCATGTCTCTTCAATTCAGAGACAAGGATGTCGTCCAGGACAGTGTCAGACACTTTGCAGAAGTCCAGGTAGATGACATCAAGTGTTCTTCCCTTATCCACCAACACTGTATACCCATCGTAGAAAGCCACTAAATTTGTCAAGCATGCTTTGTCCTTAATGAAGCCATGTTAGCTGTAACAATTCACCTCCTTATTTCCCATGTGCCTTAGCACAGTTCCCAGGAGGATCTGCTCCACGATCCTTCTGAGCACAGAGGTGAGATTGACTGGCACGTAGGTGCTCAGGTCCTTTATTCCCCTTTTAAAAATGGGGGTTACATTTCCCCTTTCCCAGCAGGAACTTCACTGGACTGCCACAACTTCGTGAAGCTACTAACCAATTCCCAGAATGCTCCCCCATGCTTTCCCATTTTTGCTGAATACAGAGATCCCTTTCATTTTCCAGGACAACTGCAAGAAGAAACTGAACTGTTCACAGCTGTACACCAATTTAAGATGGCTAGCAAAATCAGTCATAAAAACTTATTGTCTGGATGGAGCTACAATTGACAAAAAAAGAGTTTACAAGCAAATTTCTAATGATGAACCAGATGTACAGCATCTCAAATAGTTCTCAAGCTGTCTTCTGCTGGTGAATTGTACCCAAGCACACTTCAGCATGTGGTAAAAACAAAGCATTAGACGCAAGCAACAGAGGACTCTTCGAGGAGCAGCTTCACCAGCTCTATAACACAATCTCAGATATAGACTGAATGAAGTTGACCTTACCTAAGTTTATTTTCTTTAAAAGAAAAAGAGACATTACAAGATGTCTGCTCTCTAATCAGTTAAAAAAAAATGTGAACAAGTTTCCCTAGGAAATAGAACAATCTTTATTATTTAGAGCACGTTGAACAGGTTGACAGTTCAGTTCCCTACAGAGCAACACATAAAGGAAAACTAGTGGTTTTATAACAACCGGCAGTCAGGCGAAACTTAGACTGTTTAAATTCTTTTTTGAACCAGTTATCTGCATATCTGTCTAGGAGTACTTTAATCTCTGAGCCAATACACTTGCAAATGAAGATTAAGTTGCAGGTTCTTGCAGAGATACTTCCAGTATTGTTGAAGTTTGGGAGTAGTATGCTCTAGTTTTCCATACTGTCACTTGGAAACCGTACACAGTTCAAAAATTTGCGTGGTCAATACAGTGTGGTACCTACTCCTTAACAGAAATGCACGTGTAACTGGTGCCACTGAAAATCGGTCACAAAACCACTAAAAAAAAAAAAAAAATCTATCTGAACTTCTGCATTTGATTCTTCATGTATAAATATGAAATTCATTAGATCAACTTTCCATTTCAATTAAAACAAAAATAGTATTGAAGCCTGTTTCAGGATTAAATTTATAGTAGTTCCCCATTTTCTTTAAAATTAATTTCAGTAACTGATGCAAATATCAAGCTGTAGACTACAAGCTATAGTAGGAATTATCCACTCATACTCCCTTCCTTGGCTAGTGTCAAGAGTAAACTGTTTATACAAAAAAAAAATTACTGAAAGAAGTGTATTTTATGATTTGTATACAAACATGCCACAGACATCTCTACAAGCCTAGAAAACACTAATAAAACACTAAACCAGCTTTGATGCAGGTTAAACTTATTCTAAAGGGGAAGACAATGTTATGTTCATTAAATAACTAGTTTAGGCAGCTCATGTTATGACATATGCAAAAAAGCCACACTTACCTAAAAGTCTAACAGACTTTTTACTTCCCCCCAAGCAGTAAAAACTCCATATTACAGCACAAGGAGGCCAGAGAAAAGTTGTGCAGCAGCGGTTGGTCTCTACAGAGCTGCAGTTTAAGAACAGTACAGTTGCACTGCATTTTTTTAAAGCTAGTTATCTTTTTCATACAGCAAGGAAAAAAACGTGTTGTGGGTCCTTCTCAGACTTGTTTGGCTTTTGCATTCTTAACATTAATAAATGCTACACAGCAAACAATCAAACACAAAGTACGTTAAACATTCAGAATGCCAATGGCAGGCAGTTATAATGTGAATTTTGACTGGCAGAGAACCATTCAAGATGACAGCTCAAGCTGCAGCTACAGATACTGTCTCATTATATGAAAGCATCTTTAAACAATGGTCATTCAAAGCAACAAGACAGACCAGTTCTGTGCAGAGTATCATATGAAGTTAAGTGCACTTTTAAGTTCTGGAATATTTAGAAAGGTTATTCCCTTTTATCTGATGCCAGCAAAAAAGTTTGCATTAGTTTAGCAGAACTCTGCCTCAGTTGAGTATTTTAGATGATGGCCAAAGTATAAGAAGTGATGAAGAATTCTGTGCCTAACAGTTGTTGGCTCTTTTGGTTTTTTTTTCTTGAAAGCATTTGGAAACGGCACTGAAGTCTTCCTATATATCCACCATTTGGCAAGTATAGGTTACCCATTTTGTTTTTACAGCCAGGGTGGAGGAATGATTCCTGAAACTACACCATGGCAGGAGTAAAGTACTCAAATTCTGTCAAAGCTAAGTAAGTTACCGCTGCCACTTCAAAAGATCACTTAATTACCAGCCTGAAGTTCAATCCTATGGAAAACAAAGCTGTTACTGGGCATTGTACAATCCTTCTTAAATACTATACAAGTCAACATAGTGACTAACACTGCCAGCTTAACCCACAATTATGACAACAACTAAGGAACACAGAGGAGAGAAGCAAGCACAAATTCTATGCTATTCTGGGAGCTGCCCAATGCACACCAGCTTAAAATGTGGTCTTGTTTCAGGCTACAATTTGTAAAAATGCAGAAATAAATCCTGAACACTTTAGGGTTTTTGCAAGATAAAATCCTTAGCCTAGCAATTCATCCAGTATTTGACATCTTCAAAACAGCTATGAAACCCACGTCGTCATCTTAGAGCAGGAAAACTAAAAACTTAGTTCTGCTTCATCTGAGATAAACAATTAGCTGTGGCTTGTAATTACTCCTAAGTTTTGGGTCTTTTTTGGACTTAAGAACTTGTACTTGCTTTGTTTAGTGTGACGTCAGAACAGGAATCACATTTAGATTCACAAAGTTTGATATCCAGCATAGCTTTTTCTTCTGCCAATTATGTAAGCAACCACTATAATGGCAATCAAGACAGCAAGTGAAGCACCAACTACAATTGGGATTAGAATGCTGTCATCATCCAGCGAACACTCCTCGGCTGCAGGTGAGAAAAAGGTTGCAAAAAGGAATAAATAAAGACAGAATACTTGCCAAGTGTGATATATATATTTTAAAAAATCTGCTTTCCTTAATGTGAAGGTGTTAAAAATCAAGTATTATTGCATCTTTAAACTAAGAGGGAAAGAACTGAAGAGGTCTCATGGGTCTATCTAGCATATATTAAGCATTATAATAACCTGGAACTTTTGATAAACCGTAGTAAGGTAACAGAACTGCCCCAGTGTATAAGTTTTTGCGTGCACAAGATCTGCACTAAACAAGGGAGTAGCCATTCTTCTCCTTTTAACACAGAACCAGGCTTATCTGTTTCATGCCTAAGGCAAGTCTGATGCTTTTACTCATTAAGGATAAAGTGACCTAGAGATCTGGTATCAAGAACCTATCCAGAATGGAGACATGTTACAGAGAGATGAACTGTAATTACGAGAAGGAAGCTAACTGCAACTTGAGCTATAGAGTGAAACGGGATCCTAACTCTTTAGAACATATTATGATATACTGTTTACCCTGTATACATTTGGGGAGTTAACTTACTTCTGCCCCAAACAAGAAGTTAAAAAATCTGCACGCAAGCTATCCATCCTCAGATTAGACTAATCTAGCAACACTGTGCTGCAAGTATTACCATTAAATACAACCACCAGGTTACTCTAAAGATTACAAAAGAAGCCATTTAAGCCATTACGGTTTTCCCCAGACAAGTATAGCATAATGCAGCAAACAAACATTTTTGGAATCTTTCGTTCTGGATATTCAAGAATGTTTCTGATAGAAGCTTTGTCAGTTCATTTTTTTCCCCTCAACACTCCTATTCCTTAGACTGACAGGTAAAAAGAAACAAAACACTAACAGCATTATCACTTCTGCTAAAGTTCTGTCCCATTTTCTTGCATATTAGAGCTACAGAAAGCTTTACGTCAAGAGGAAGTCAGACAGCTTCTAACCTATTCTGCAAGGCAATGCTTAAGTCTCTCTTCAGTGCCTCTAGCTTCTTCAAGTTTTATGAAGGATAACCCACATACCTAGCAAACATTTTTAAAGTGAGAACAAATCTTTTCTTGAACTTGAACATCAGTCTCAGAACTTCTCTTATTCCATGTGTAAAACAAGAGCTTCAAAAACAACATGCTTGTGCCCAACGCTGGTGCCTTTTAGCAAGTAAGAATTTTGCAAGTATTGCAAGAATTTTAAAAAAAGAACTCTTACCTGTAGAGAACTTGTTTGCCTTCACGAGGAATGGCTGAACCCATAGATTAAAAGTATGTATCTGAAGATCTTCATTAATTTCAAGAGTTTGCTCTTTTCGGCACATATAAGAACTACCAAGGAAAGCATCCCACTTGCTGAAATTGTTGTTATCTGCATTTGTAATGACTAAACAAAGGGAAAAAAAGAACATTTGTAGGACCACTTTAAATGCAAGAGAGTTGCTAATACAATCATAAGACTAAGGAGCTGAATCTAGAGGGCCAACTTTTCAACACTGGCTACTCTGAAAAACAAGGTAATCCGAAGTATGCCTAATCTACTTAACCAGAAGAGCTCACACACTGAAGATATTACAGTACTTAGCAGTAACCTATCCCCAGTACAGGCATGACATCAGGCTTTCCTTGTACTTCTACTCATCCCAACATTGCAGAGTTGTGAGCATTTTAGCTTTAGTGCCTTTTTAACGGCAGCAGCCGTGACAAGCAAGTTGAAAAAACCAAAACAAAACCAAACCATACTTTTGATTTGGAATAAAAATATGCTTTAGTTTTTGAAGGACTGGTCTCTTTTCCCAGTGAGAGTTAAGTGGAAGTGGTTGGAAGACACAGCAGCATCTTCAAAGAAGACAACAGCTGCTTTGGAAAAAAACAAAAAACTTCAGAATTGGTACAGCTGTGGTTGACACCTCAAAAATTACGTTACCAAAAACAGTTATAAAGAAGCACTCTTAATTTACGTACGTTTATCATGAAGTAACAGATGTGATTAGCAGATGGTTTAGGAAAAGAAAATGATCCCACACCAATGTTTTCTTTATTACTTTTGTTCCAACCAACTTTAAGACTTAAAGTAGGAAGTAACAGTAAGCATTGAAAAAGTCAGAAGTATGTGATAAATAGAGACATTGAATAAAAGCTTATGCGTGCTTTAAGGCAGATCTTATTACTTACCAGAACCATTCAGACTGTTGAGCAGTGTAACATTCACCTCTCTCAGATAAAATCTTTGTACACTTGCACGTGCATTTTTCTGTTGAAGAAGGAAGAACTGTCGGTGTGCAATTCTGCATTTTTAACTTTAAGAACACATGCTTTAGAAAGGCTACAGTCCTACATTTTCTACAACTTAACCCAATTCTCCATTTGTCTTTAGGCAGTTAGCTAGCCAGTTCCACTTCCTATATAGCAGCAGCCTACCACCAGCAAGTGACAGCAAGATTCTACTATCAGTGATCATTAAACAATGCTCTTAAAGTGGAAATTTAGTTCAAAATAAGGTAAGTTACTTACAACAACAAATGTGAAACTAATCAATGTGCTATTTCCATCATTCAGTTTCAGAGTAGCTGTTGTGTTACCACATGTACCATCTGTGCTAGTTGTCTTTGGATTGATGTTGATCAGAAGAGGCTGAAATACAGACATACCATGTCAAAGACATTCAGCTGGCATTAGGAATACGTTGTTCCAATCAGTAGCAGTCTTAGACCACAAGATGAATGTCATGAAGATGACAGCGGGAAGATTGAGCCTGGCTACTATCCAACCAAGGCTTAACTTAAGTTTACATGCTGGTAATACTAAAGCAAACAAATTGCCCAGTGAATTCTTCTTTTGTTGATCTAATACAACAGGTTAGCTTTGGTACCCTCTGTGGGGAGAGAATATCTGCAGGAACCAACAGCTTTAAAAGCTAAGAAAGTTCCAGGCTTTTAATGATGCTACAGGTACTCCCAGTAATGAGTTATATTGAATCCATGTAAGGTTTTGATGCGACATATTATGCCATGAGACTATTCTGATGTCAGAGAAGTGGTACGCACAATACTTAGAAGCAATTCTGGACAGCCATCAGTGTACAAAGCAAATACCCTGAACTCACATTTCATACCAGGTAACTACAGCAACCTTTCTATTCTTCTAAAATAGTAGAGAAGCACCTTGTCTCGGGAAACATTCAGCTGCAGCCCCACGGTTGCCAGAAGACAAGTTGCATTTCCACTTTTAAGAGAATAGTTTCCTGTCTCTGGATTCTCCACAGGTTTGGGAGCAGTGGTCGGAGCAGGAGATAATGTGGTGGTAGATGCAGTAGTTGTGTTGGCAACAGTAGGCGGAACAGGAGGTGCAGAAGTAGGTGTATCAGCAGGACATCTAGACTCTGAAAAGAAATTTTAACCACCATTTTAGTGCCGAAATTTTATTAAAGTCTTATGACTCAGAAGTCAGTTCAACACAGATACCAAATTCTCTGTTGAAAGCTAGGCACATCAGGAGTCCGCAAATTGCCAAGTTAGAGGTCTCAAACTCAGCACAGTATTCCAAACAAACTACAGCTAACATTTATTCTCAAACATTCTGTAATGCCCCCAGTTTTAAATCCTTGTAGCACATGCAGTACTACTTACCTCCAACACATGGAACTGAAACACACAGACAAAGATAGTTCAGTGGTTATAAAAATGTGACATGTATTTGCTGCAGACAAAGTAAGCAACCCTATTAAGCTAGTAGGTAGCAGGATGACATGCTCATCTCTTTCGAGTAGTTGAGCTATGAGATGAGACAACAGGCTCCGGATTATTTAAATAAAAAAGCAGCAGAGGGTACCACCAAAAATGGAAGGTAAGTCAAGTTAAAAACCTTGAAGCTCAAGTGATACAGTCAGCAACAGTAGCTCTGAAGTGCTTATTTTTAATACCCAAATTAGTGGAATACATACTTTATTAGACCACCACCTTGGCATGGGAACAATCTAGGTTACTATATACTACTAAATATGTTCTACTACTCTATTTTTCCAGGAACAAGGAAAGACATACTAAAGGAGATTTACATCAATATTATTCAACACAGCACATCTTAGAACTGGTGAATTTTTTATTATGGGACTTTGCTCCCTGCACTAAGGTACAATATAAAAACGCTCGTTCACAAATTGAAACTCTCACCTTTTTTACTGATTGTGCCATTCTGAACAAAAGCCTGCACAGTAGCATTCCAGAAAATCTGTGTCACATTTTCTGCTTCAAAGAAGTCAGTATTATGACACACGAAGATGTTATTCAGTGGAACTGCATGCATAGTATCCTTAACAGCAACAGTAACTGGTCCTACAAATAAGCACAAATATTTTAATTCTTTACGAACTTCAAGAACATTTATAGTGTTGTGTTTTATATAATTCCATAAATTAATTGAGTTTAACAATCCTAACCTCTCTTGAATGTTTTACCTATTTACCTGATCTGAATTACTAAGTAATGCAGAGAAGTAATGAAGCTTCCAGAACTAGACAAGCCATTAGCAAGGTGAACTCTTTTACTGAAGTTTTTATTTAAGGACAAAAAATTCCTATTATTAGTAAGCATCAGTACATGGAGAGTCTAACACCATATTGCTTTACTAGGTGGAACATCAAGTAGTACATATCGAAAGGAATCTTCCATATGCCTGTTGTCTACTAGCAGCATCTCACCGATCAAGGCTGTTCAAACAGTTAACCTTCTCCTTCCACTACACTTAAAGGAATTGCAAGTTCAATGAAGCTAACTAGTCTGTATTCTTATTATATCGTTTTATTTAACAAAACAACAGTTAGGCAGTACACGGCATAGAAGTCATTAGACACATTATTAGTCCTCTTAGTTTTGAAAAAGGCAACTGAGGTCAGGTACATGAGATCTGACACTTGTGGCCAAGACTATTTTTTAAGTGGGATTCTGCACTGAACATTACCTTTTCTTTTAGCGCCAGGAAATACAGCAGTATCATTGGTGTTGTAGGTAAATGTGATGAAGTCCCCCTGGAACGTTTCATTAGTTTTTGTGAAGTTAATGCTCCAAGAGTGACCTTCTCCAAATTGTATCGCCAGAAGCGCGGCCTCTGTGTCATTACCACAGACACTTCCATTGTGTGTCACACTGGATGGCAAATTCAAGGTTGTGTTTTTCTAGAAGAAAAAGGTAACTTTAAACTTTTTCAAAGTTCTTCCCTATGACAACGTTATAAACCTGCTGGAGTCAGAACCTTTCACAAGATTAGCGAGATTATTTTAAGTTATTCTACAAAATTATAAAAAAGGCTTCCGACTTAGAAAGGAGCCATATTAGATTCCAGTACAAAGTACGAATCTAACCTGGCTATAAATCTTGATTCAGCTGAGCTGCAATTTACATTTACTGTCTAGACTAAGAGCACCACTACGCCGATACAAAAAAACCACCAAGTTCGACTAGTATGCCATCTAATGAAGTACAATAGTGTACTTTCAGTTATTTGCACTATTAACTAAGAACCTATGCTTTCTTTTTAAATTAATATTTAGGAATACTTTTAATAACTTAGTAAAAAAGAAAAAAAAAGGTAAAAAAAAAATCAAACACCCTAGGTAAAAAAGCATACTTAAACTTTTAACCAGGACAAAATAGTTCTCAACAAAAGTTACCTCCAAATACTTACATAATCACTACTGTTTGTTTCATATTTTATCAAGAATCTCATCATCCATCTTGCATACAGGCAAGTAGTATTAGAGGCATCCTTTACATCTACTTCCACTGCATAGGACTGGAAAAGACCTACAAGATATGATTACCTGCTATTAAGACACTGCTTTTACTTCATTTTTTAGAATCACTTACGAGGACAGCTCATTACAAAGCAGTAAACTATTTCAGGACTGTATTGAATTTGCCAGGCACTGGAAGAGCTGCTAGATTTCTAAAACGTATTAAAACCGGAAAGCAGACTAAGAGGTTATCAAAGGTAGATAAAGAATTGGGATAATGTTTTATAGCCTATTTACCTGACAAAGACTAATTATCAAAATGAGCATCAGCTGTTGACAAACAGTGAAGTGCATGAACACAGCACTTAAACAATGTACTGCTTGCAGACCAGGGTCATCCTATTATCTTATGTTTTGTCAGTGGTATGACTCAAATTGACCTCTAACAGATGAGACTGGGGTGCCTTCATTGTGTTTCCACAAATTCTGGCTCAAAAGACACGGATATTAAATTTCCTTTACATTTTTAGAGAACTTCTTAGAGTTGTTAGACTCTTAACTCAATGAATCTCCAGAGACACTCCCTCCGAGTCAGATGGGATCTGCACTGCTGTGACCGCTGAAACCCGTTGGTGGGGAGGCCTGGCAAGACCCACGCGCGCAGGTAGCCAAGTGCCCAGAGCGGAGCTGTGGCGGGCCAGCGGCCGGCAGACTGCCCTGGCCGACAGCCCCTCGAGTGAAACACCCGCCTTGGC